GGGTCGGTCGAGCCGTGTCCACGGCCTGTCGTAAATTTAACAGCGAGAATCGATTTCGTTGGTCGTCCGATGGGAAAAGGATAAAGGCGTGGTTCGGATTTACCGCAGCCACGATCGGAAGCTGCGGCGTTGTTCTTTATTTTCTGAACGAGTCGTCGGTGAAGGCGTTCGGGGGAATAGAGATTAGACCACCGAAGTACCCATGGGCGTTCAACGGTACGTTCAAGGCGTTCGATCACGCCGCTCTGAGAAGAGGATGGCAGGTTTATCGAACCGTGTGCCACGCGTGTCACAGTCTGCAATTCGTTCGTTTCCTTGACCTGGTCAACGTAACGCACACGGCGGAAGAGGTTAAACAGATCGCCGCCGAGTTCCAGGTTTCTATCGGAGCTAGAGCGCCGCGGTGGTTGACCGACGCGGCGCGACGCGATCACCGTACGTTCCGGCGTAACCAGTCGTAACCGAGCGAACGCTTTCGATCAGGTGGAGGACGGCCCCGACGATCAAGGCAACTATTACACGAGACCGGCGATGTTGTCAGACGCGATACCGTCTCCTTATCCGAACGAGGAAGCGGCTAAAGCCGCCAACTATGGCGCTCTGCCACCGGATCTAACTTACATGATTTTGACGCGCAGAGGCGGCCTAGATTACGTGTTTTCCCTGTTAACCGGATGGATGGACCCTCCAGCAGGGGTAACTCCGGACGAAGGCCAATACTTCAACGTTTACTTTACCGGTGGATCTACCATGATGCCACGAGTACGGCATTGGTGAAATCGCGATTAGTCGAACGCGCCTTGTCTCATCGATACTTGTTTTTCACTATCGTTGCTTCTTTCGACGCTTTCGCAGATGTTCTACGAGGGAATCGTCGAGTACGACGATGGCACACCGGCCACGGAGTCGCAATTGGCGAAGGACGTGGTAGAGTTTCTAATGTGGACGGCGTCTTCGGAGCACGACACGCGAAAGATCATGACGCTGAAATGCATGGGAATCCTTCTGACGCTACTGGTGTCCGTCGTCCATATCAACAGACGAAATTGGTCGCATTTGAGGAGCCGTCGCATAGCTTACGTACCAAATATCATCACCAGAGAACCTCGACATCCTACGTCTCCGTTCGCGGACAAATACGGCCGAGGAAGTAAGAGAAGCGGCTCGTTACCAAACTGATACACGGTCGTCGTGTTTTTTACCGTTGTAAAAAGTTCGATTCGATTCGACGCAACGATAAAGTTGCACGCGCGTCGAGACAGGGCCGGCAATTACGGAGAAACGAGGAAGAAGAGATTCGGTTGGAACGAGTTGGGTCGCGATGGAATGGGTGGGTCGGGTCGGGTTGGGTCGATTCGGTTCCGGTTGGTAGCGCGGGCGCAACATGTGCCACCGATAATCGTTTCGCAACGCGCGGCCTTGACGATGCCCGTATGCTCGATCGGGCCGTCTAAAAATAGAAAGCTCGAGAAACCGTGCAACAAACGTTATACCAGCTCTTTCTCTCTCTCTCTCCCTCTCTCTCTCTCTCTCTTTCTCATTCGCACGAGCACTCGCGCGCGCTCTGTCGCGCTCTGCTCAGCTGGTGGCTTCGACGATCGACGAATAATAGATCATGGATCGCGAATGACAGATAACGACGGTCGCTGATCTACGATCTATTTCGGATCGAGAGATCCCCGCTGCGTTTCGAGATTTATTTTTACTCGTTCTTTCTTGGACCACGTCGCGCGTCATCTTGCACCCCTCCATTTTTCTCGCTCTTACGCGTAACCGCGTACCGAGCGAGTAAATTCCCCTATCTCTAAAATAACCGTGATTCCTCGAAAGTATCGACTTTGACTTTCGTTGCTTCGCTCGCCCATCGCCCCCCACCCCACCCTTTACCGTACTCGGCTTGTGTCGCGGTCTCGTTTCGTTTCGTTTCGTTCGGTTTCGTCTCCGGTCTGGTCTAGCCTGGTCTAATCGTGTCACATCGTGTCGCGTCGATGATCTATGCGCACGTACGCGGCTCGTCTCGGCGCTCAATGGCAACAAGTGCGATCGCGGAAGAGAAGGGGTGGCACGGATCGAAAATATATACCAAACGATGAATGAACCTACCGCGTTGACGTTGAGAGCGCGCCAGCGATTTCGCGATCAACCGTAAGAAGCGAGACGGCTATGGTCGAAGGATGCATGGGCGGCACGAGAAACCATAATACTTGACGATTACCGTCGCTGTTCGATACGTTCGAAGCCTGTTACGATTCCCATACAACCGACTCGCACCGACGCGCGAAACGAAAGATCAATTTTACCTGGATGTCGCTCGTAATCGAGAAACACGGTACGCCTGGTAAGACCGGCGAACAGGCCATTTGTAACGATGGTTTGACGTTCGCGACCGATTCGAGGAGAATTTTCGTCTCGAATAGAATGGATCGCGCGCGCGGTCCTATCGCCTATCGGTTGAAAATCAACGAAATAGACCAGAAGAACGGTCAGGGGCAAGAACGGTCGAGACATTGGGATCGACTCGATGAAGACGAATCCTTCGTAGTATTCGTCACCATGACTATTATTGTTACGATGGAGGCTGTGCTCGTCGTTATCTTCGCGATCGTTTCTCGATCGCGTGGCACTGAGTTTGCGAACGTCGATTCCCACGCTGCTAGAATATCGCCAACAACCACAATCACGGGTCGCGTCGATAGTGACCTCGACCGCATCGCTTCTCGTTCTCTTTATCCGCGTTTATCGTGAGTCGGAAATCGCGAGCCGATCCGAAATTCATCGATCACCGTTCTTGCCACTCCAACGTTGAAATGATATTAAGAACCGGAAAATCCAGTTCAAATGTATACGTCGAAAACTTACCTTTGGTCGCGACGGCGCTTGCTCGCGCTTGTTCGCTGGACATTCTGTTTCCTCCAACATTCACCGAACCCTGCATTTACCGTCAACGCTGCAACGTCGTAACTCTTTTCTGCCTTGGTCGCATGCGTTTCCTGCAACGCGAACAAGCAATTTTTTTCCTTTCTCTCTCTCTCTCTCTCTCTCCCTCTCTCTTAAAAACAACTACGATACAACTTGCTAGAGCGTACGCGATCGTCGAGTTAGAAACTAAAGGGTAAGAGGAAAAAACAAGGATCGTCTGGAAATAACTTTATTCAGAAAATCGAGTTTTAATCTTTTTGATCCGGTAGTAAAGAAGCAATGTTCGATAAATTTAACTGTATTGTTTATAAAGCAAAGTTTATACTTTGATTAGATATCACGAAAAAAGAATGTTAACATAGTAATTACTGTACAGTACTTGTAATCCTTGTTATATTGCGCGTTTCGATCCAGTAACGAGTGGACATTCCCTGTTTTTACCCAATACACCAAACCTTTCAAACCGCTATATCTTAATGAGATATTTCGAACGTTATAACGATCGTGATTTGATAATTTTCCGTTGTCTCCTAGTTGTCAGAGAACGAAATGTGCTATGAAATTGAAAATCACGAAAACTGAACGTTCCTCGTTTTTCTTCGATCTTTTCAAACGTAAACGCGGTAGTAGAAGCGTCCACGTGACACAGGCGACGCCATGATTTTGCCACTCTCAACGTGAAATCCAAATTTCTCATTCGATTAGATTTATTCTAGTAGGTATCGTGCGTGGTGTCGCGCGTCGCGTGTCGCGTATCGCATACCGAGTATCGCATGTCGCGCGTACGCTCGATCTCGTTTATCAAAATTTCGAGATTCGCCAGATACGATCGATCGTGGAAGTGAATCGCGATCTCTCGAATGGTTGTCGTGCTTACCGGCTGCGTCAGCGCTAAACTTCGATCGCGCTCGATTCGTTCGAGGGGGCGATCGATATCATCTTTGTCGGGCAATACTTCCGTTTCGTTTCATAACAACCAATAGTCGCGAAATTTCTCTATTCGCTGGAAAACGTTGGGAATACTAAAGTTGGCGCGTAACGTATACGTTTCGTTTAGATAGAAACGATCGTTAAATAAATATACCGAACGTCCATGTAAGAAACCACATCGATCGACTTGTATTCGCGAGTGCGCGTACCCTCGCGCGCACGCACGACATGTATACACGGCATTCGCTAAACTCGACCGAATCAATTCGAAGACTAGAAAGGATAGCGAGTAACGTCGATAAGGAATACCGAACGAATAGATATTGGTGTTTCGAGTCGGGCATGGTAAACGAAAAACGTTAGCTCGCGGAAGCGCCGAGATATAACCTTCGGTTGAATTAAAAGAAGGTAAGAACGTTTGTATGCACGCCAAAATCACATGGAATGGAACGACTTCTTTGTCGAATCGTGAAAATCGTTTACGTAGAAACAGCTGATAAAAAAGAGAAAAACGAGACAGACACACATACACACGTACACAGGCTGGCCCGAGTGATGCTAATTTCATTTATCATTTTCTAGACTTTGAAAAAGATCAAACATTTCCGAAGATTTTAATTTCGGAAATCGAACTCTGCGTTTGAGGAGCGGCATGCTCGACGTTCAATCGCGGTTACGATGAAAATCGTATTGGTATTAGTGTCGGTATTTGTAGCTCGTGAACAAGTCCCGTGTCAGTGTCCGTGACAACGATGATGATGATGATGGTGGTGGTGGTGGTGGTGGTGGTAGTGGTGCTGGTGGTGGTGGCGATGGCGGTAGTGGAAGTGGACATAGTGGCACTAGTGGTGGTAGTGGTGGTGGCGGTACAGTGGTAGTGGTAGTAGCAGTGGCGATGATAGTGGTCGTGTGGTGGGTAAAGAGCGGCGGTAGCGG